AGAGACTCGCTTGAGCCCAGGAGTTGGAGGTTGCCGTGAGCTGTAATGCCATGGCACTCTACCCAGGGGGACAACTTGAGGCTCTGTCTCAAAAAAAAAAAAAAAATACTAAAACCTGTAAAAAGGACAGACATGGAATATTTATTCTTTTAGTATATGCCTCAGAGACCTTTCCTGAACTTTGCACATAGAAAAATTCAAGTACATAAGGACAAATATATGCTTTAAATATTATTTTTCTTACAAATGACACAAATATTCATAATGACTACCAACATCACAACAATTATTTTCTTAATTAAATTCATTTGTTTCTTCTACTCCTCAACTTCTAAAGACAGTCACTTCAGCTGTCTTTTCCATTTAAATTCCAAAACAGGGAATTTATCTTCTCAATGATATTCCCAACAAGAAACCAATATTTTTAAATAAATGAACAAGGTGATTAAAGTCAAAGCAACAATTTCTCACTAAGTAATCACACTTCACAGTACCAGTTCCATATTCTTTTCTAAAATAATTTATACTGTCATCTTTAGGAATATTATGCTACAGACTATTATGCTGTAATAGTTTTACCAAACATGCTCCACAAGAGTTAAACAATTACAAGAAAACTGACAGTGAAAGGAAATTAATTAGTACAACTTCTTTGGAAACATTTCAGAAATACAGAACTGATATGTTCATGTACTTCTGGCCCCAAATCTCAGTGCTGGAAATTCATCCTATCAAAACTGTGGAGGAAAAGGAAAGATGATATAAAGCTATTTAATCAAGCACCGTTTAAAATAGTGAAAGCAGGAGTAACTTCAATGCCTTTATATAAAATCACATTTTAAAAATTCAAATGGGATGGTTACAAGTAAGGGAACCTGAAAATAGCACAGACAGGTTCAGTAAAATCAACTATATCTTCTCATTTTAATGTTCTTACAAAGTTTCGTGAAAATTAACACTGCTATACAAAACCAGAAACCAGAAATAAATTAGAGTAAAATTAAAACAATGAGTAAAATTTTTCAATTTTCTTTTTTTCTTTAACACTGTGATTATAAATACAATTCAGTGTTTAGCACTTATCACAGAGTTTGCGTTAACATTTATTTTTACACAGAAATTAATGATGTATTTTATATGATATCCAGGAGAGGCCCAAAAATATAAACGACCTATGTGTCACAGCTTAAAGCAAGCCCACACCAAAGTTTAATAGATAAAAATTACACTGCCTTCTTTATTTTTTAAAGTAAGAAACCAGAGA